CGAGCCGAGAGTGTCCGAAACGTCAGTCTCAAAATAAAACGGTCCATGCCCTCATACCTTCTTATTCCTCTTCTTTGGGGGATGGTGAAAACGATATGATATCTGGACCTTGAATCTCCACGCATATTGTCTTTCGATTACTTGACGGCCGCTCGTTTTTCGTCTGCAATTATCTAAACAACCTCTTTTGTCAAATTGCCTTCTGTATCCATGTTTTTATTAACCCTGTATATCCAATAGGGGGTTCTAAGGCATTCGTCTGAACTGAACTGAAATCTGTGAGTTGTAAATCAAATAAAAATTGTAGAAAAAAGGCGTATGGCTGGATTGAACTTACACTCGTTCGACTCCACCTTTTGCGTTCATTGAAAGACCCTGGTCGTTGATTGTCAGCATCCTTTCGATAGATCGGAAGTAGTTAAAAATTGAAATGCACTGAAAATGAGAATAAATTTGCTTATTAGTTGATAAGAAAACGACCTCGAAGCAGGTGAAGAAAGAACCTCTCCCAAGGCGGATGCGTGCAGCGATTTTGTGCCTTCCGAGAGATTCTTACCGTTCGTTGCAGGTCTCGGATCTTAAGGTGACGCAAACTCAGGAAGGAGAGGTAGGCACCCTGCACGCTGGATGGATCATCTTTGGTGTCAGAAGCCTCGTCTAGGCCCAGCATTTGCATAGCGTTATTGAAGTCGTAGCTCTCCCGACCAGTCTTATTCCCTCCAGCTCCTCCAGCACCTCCACTGCCCCCTGCTCCTCCACCGCCACCCTCCTCAGCACCGTTACTAAGGTGAAAAAAATTAATTTCTCATTTCACGGAAAAGAAATGTTTTGTAACACTGTTATGGAGTAAAATTGGAGTAATTTACGCGAAAGAATGAACATTATTAGGGGTTTTGCAGATTTGCTTAATTTATAATGACCCAATTTTGAAAAAACTCGAGGCGTTAGGCGGAATTTGAACCCGCGTATTAGAGAAGACCCTTACCGGAAGCCAACGCTCTAACCGCTAAGTTATAAACGCCCCACCTCGCGCCATGAATTTAATCACAATTGGGTCCATATTACCCGCCCAAATTGACCGCCCGTATGGAATACACCAATACGGATTAGCAAGCTGACTGCCCAAACAGGGTTTCCTAAGCGATCAACAATTTCCATTATAACTTTATCAATTTATTATGGAATGATACGAATTTTGGTGGCGAGGTCGTAACGGGGAACATGCGCTAGGTCGCGGGTGTTCACTCGAAAATTTTGAAGCATTTTTCCTATGACAGCGTAAACCAGGACGGGTTTTTCTTTTAAAAACTGAGCCTGGAGTTGTATTTCCAAATAAAGGGGGTTGAAGGTAGGATCGGAACAATGTTTCACAGTTTCAAATGTGGGATCATGACGTTGCAGACCTGCGCGCGTTGCATATGCGTGTCCAATGAGTGTAAGTGTTGTTATTCGATCGTGTGCTCTCTGAGTGCACACTGATCGATGAATTATTGTGACCCTGACGTGCGTCGGGGCATATTTAAACCTACTGACTGGACTCCCACCCAGTAAGTGACTCTGGGCCCTGTCAAACTTAAAGTTTCTTATCTCAAACGTCTCGCATCAATTTATTATCTGGAAAGATCGGTTGCTGCGACTGATGTCACACCCCGATGACGTAGTAGCCGAAAAGGATAGACTTATAAAAAAACGACGTTGGATCAAATGCGTTTACAAGAATCCAAAACTGACCTTAGCGCAGTTAGTTAACCCTGTTAACTGAGCTGACCACAAAGCAGTCAATATTTCATAAATAGAGCATTTAATGTTAAGGGAAATTACCAACAGCAGTCTAGCATAATTAAAGATTTCAGCCCCTCGACTTACTCGTTATACAGCTCCGGATTTGTGTAAATTTTTCGAAATACTTCACTTGTACTCTGACCGTGCCGATGACTGACAACAGATGCCGCGTGAATCATGGGTGGGTGTTGAACCAGCATTGCGTGGTGTCGAAGTGCATCTTGAACTTTCTGAAAGTAAAGTAACACATACATCAAAAAATACTAGAAGTACCTTCAAACACTGACAGAATTTCAGAAGATAAACTGGCGAACATACGTTTATTTTCGACAAATTCTCGTCAGGCCTTTACATTTATATGTTAATGAAATAAATAAACTATGCTGGTTGGTGGACAGATGTAGT